TCCAAGCGCCATTTTATCAGCCACACCCATAAATTTGAAGATTACTGAGATTAACTCTGTATACTTGCAAAAAACGGATGTAAACATACGCGCTGTGGTATCACAGAATATAGGCAGGTTAGACACTCTCCCTAAATAATTATCCACTCTTGATAATAGATATAGAGCGGTTGCAGTGACGTCACTTTTTGACGTCATAATTACTTCCGTATGGCAAAAATTAATGAGCCTCATCCGTTTACAGCAGCAAAGTTGCTTCTTCTATAACTTCTTTTACACAGCACAAGGCAGAAAAGGAGTACAATTCTAGCGGTAGTAAGCAGAAAAGTGGCGATAGCAATAATTACAGGAGTAAAAAGCCGGGCAATGCTGTGTTCAATAATAAAATTAAATTAATTTTATTAGTTTTATTAATTGAAAGCCTCTATTCATTATGTATGCATGTATAACAATATTTAAAAGTATTTAAATACGACTAATTACAAATACTATTTGTATTTGACCCAAGTCTGATTACTGTTAGATTGTGATCATAACATTATATTCTCTTAGATTGTTTTTACTGATTTGAGAGGTAAAGCATTTGAAGTGCAGGTTGGATTGCATGAACTATTAGGACACGGATCAGGGAAACTGTTCAGTAAGGTAAGTCTCATTAATTCATTGTTATAGTTGATAGTATGAGTCTATAATAGGATAAGAATGGAGTCTTTAACTTTGAACAAGATAAAGTTATTAATCCTTTGACTGGAGATAAGGTTGGTTTCATCATAATGCATGTACATACACTGTATACTACAAGCTAGTGTTTCTTGCTCTCAATATTGTTATTTTAATTCATGTATGATGCACATACACATGTGGACATGTATAACCATGTCCTGAGATTCCTGAGATTAGGAGATTAGGACAGTTCCTGAGATTAGAAAGATTATTTTGAGGAGGCGATGAAGTTTGCTAAGCATAGCGTACTGTTGTCATGTGACACGTACATGTACATGTTGTGTATGCAATTTATACATTAATTGATACAAGCCAAGTCTGTCTAACATGTT